GCAGCAGCAGCAGCAGCAGCAGCAGCAGCACCGGGGGCCTTCGACTTTGCGTTTGCCTTTGACCTGCACTGCAACGGGTTCTTTGTGTACGCGGTGTACACGCAGGTGCTGCCGCTGGCGCTGCAGCCGCTGCTGCTGCTGCTGCCGCTGCTGCTGCGGCGGTGGACTGCAGCAGCGCTGCACTGCTACGGAGTTTGCTGCTACGCATATGTTTCCGTGTTGGGGTATTTAGCTGCTGGTTTGCTGCGCTCTGCTGCTCCTTTGCTGCTGACTGCGGGGCTTGCTGCTGCTGCTGCTGCTGCTGCTGCTGCTGCGGGCGTCGACTTCCTTTACTGGCCTGCGCGGCTGCTGCTGCTGCTGCTCGTAGACAAAGCCCCCGCTGAAAATGCTGCTGCTGCTGCAGCAGCAGCAGCAGCACCGCCTCTGGCTACTGACCTTCCTTTGCACTAAACAAGTCTCCCGCTGTACAGACACTCCAGAAACCCCCAGCAAAGTGCTGGGCCTAGCTAGGGTTTAGGGTTTAGGGTTTAGGGTTTAGGGTTTTAGTGCTGCTGCGGCAGCCAGCAGCTGCAGATGTGTATATATGTAAATAGATATATAAATAGATTAAGAAATATATTTAACTAAATTTTTTGCAGAAGAAAACATGAAAAGAAATAAATAAATAAAATTGAATATAAGAAGATGCCCATAAGTACAAATGTATTTGCATTTATATTTATTATTTGTACTTATATTTGCATTTATATTTACAATTATTATTGTAATTGTATTCATGTTTATATCAATTCTTGTCTTTATATTTATACTTATATGTATATTTATAGTATTATTCGCATTTATGTTTAATATATATATATATATGTTGTTTTGTTTCGCTGCACCTTTTTAAACAAAGAGAATTCAAATGAAATAAATAAAAGTTAAAATAAAAATGAAATAAATGATATTGAGAGGAGCTGCTTGTGCAAGTCTGCGGTGTACGTACACCGCAGCAACAGCGCAGCAGCAGCAAAAGCAGCAGAAGAAAGGGACACAACAGCCTCGAGGAATGCTATTTACTTATTTATTTATTTATTTACCATTTATTTATTTATTTATTTTTCTGTTTATTTATTTATTTGTTTATTCGAGTAAATGAACAAAAGAAAGAAAGGAACTGCTTCGCTGCAGCAGCCTTCGAGAGAATAAACAATTCAAGAAATATAAGTGCAAATATAACAACAGAGTAAAAGCACTAATATGAAAAATAATGATAATTATAATAATAATAATTAATAATAATAATAATAATAATAGTAAATAATAATAATAATGATAATTTTAATATTAATGGTAATACTGATAGTAATAATAATAATAATAAACATAATATAATAATAATAATTATAATAGTAATAATAGTAATAATAATAATAGTGAGGATAACAAATGTAACAAATGACAATAAGATAATCATAACGGGATTAATGGTAATAATAATAATAATAGTAATAGTAATGATAAGTACAACAGTACATCTAATAATAGGAAAAGTAATAATAGTAATAATGAGAATAACAATAGTAATAATAATAAGAATATTACTATTATTATTATTATTATTATTATCAGTATTATTATTATCATTATTATTATTATCATTATTATTATTATTATTATTATTATTATTATTATTATTATTATTATTATTATTATTATTATTAAAGTATTGCGTTAAATACTTTTTCATTAGCTGTCCAGAAGAGCAAAGAGAAAGAAAGAAAAACCAGAAAAACATTTGCAGCTCAAGTGGGGTGTATGTACACCCCATTAAAAGGCCATATAGGCCTGGGGTGTATGTACACCCCATTAGAGGGCCATTTAGGCCTGGGGTGTATGTACACCCGATTAGAGAGTCATTTAGGCCCCTCTGCACTTCCGTGAAGACTCGAAAATGCTTTAAAGCAATTAGTAATTATTTTTTCAAGTTTCTTTCTCAAGAAGTGCAAATTATTAAGTCATTCTTTCTTTTAGAAGCACTTTTGCTGCTGCTGCTGCTGCTGCTGCTGCGGCTACTTAAGATGTTGTGCTGTAAAGGCCTTTTTAAATTTTTTGTTTTCTTTTAATTTCCGGAGAAGACTTCGGGCTCGCTGCTGGGGTGTACGTACACCTCAGGGTGTAGGCTGTCCGGCGAGGCGGAAGCTGGAGGAGCTGTTTCTGGTTGATTAGTGGATTAAAAATAGCGCAATTGCGGAGAAAATAAATAAAAACAAAAACTAATTTCATTTTTAATTCCAGATTTGCGTAAAATGCATCTTTAAAACGGGTTTCTTGCCTCTGTCTTCAGCCCGCGGCGCCGTCGCACTGCCGCGGTCAGGGAGGCGGGTCCACTGGTCAGTTCGGTGGTGGAGGCTTCTTTTCGGGTTTCTTTTCTTCTTTTTTGAGTCTCCAGACAAATAAATTGAATTGAATTCCTCTGGGCGGCTCAAATTTATTTCTTTTGGGCAAAAGGGCGCAAAAGTTCCCCGCGTTTCGCTGCGTCGGCCGCGGTCCGATTCGGGGTGTACAGACACCTGCTCCTCACACCATTCCGCTGTCCGCGTCTGCGCGTCTCCACCGTTTCTTTTTCATTTTAGAAAAGCTTATAATATCAATCTAATTGTTTTTTTCTTTTAGGGACTTCGGGGAGAATGGCGGGTCCCCAGGGGGGCCCCCCGGCGCCCCCCGCGGCGGCGAGGTGTACAGACAGCTCGGACCCCGTGCGCGCCGTTGCTGCTGCTGTTGCTGCTGTTGCTTCCGGTAGCTTTCCAGAAGGTGCTGCTGCTTCTCAGTTGGAAGCTTTGAACTTGATGCTGCCGCGGGCAGTTTCTGCTGCAGTCAGCAGCAGCAGCAGCGGGGGCAGCGGCAGCAGCAGCGGCAGCAGCTTGAACGCCTTCCTCAGGCCCGACAGCAGCAGCAGCAGCAGCAGCAGCAAACACGAACTTGTGAGGGGGGCCCCCCCCCTCCACGGCTACGAGGCCCTCAGGGCCATGCGGGCGAGGGCCCACGAGTTTAGAACTGGTAAAAAGAAATAAATTAATTTTTAAAACTTTTGACAAAAAGAAATATTGAGTTTCATTGCGCTAATGCATTTAATTGCTTTTTAATTCAAATAAAGCAGCAAAAACTCTCCACCTTTTCAATTTTTTTTTTCAATTTCTCTTTTTTATTTTTATTTTTTTCAATTTAACTTTTTATTGCTTTTTCGCCACTTCTTTTTCTCCACTATTACCGCCACCCTTCCCATTCTATTTATTTATTTATTTATTTATTTATTTATTTATTTATTTATTTATTTATTTATTTATTATTTATTTATTTATTTATTTATTTATTTATTTATTTATTTATTTATTATTTATTTATTTATTATTTATGTATTTATTATTTATTTATTTATTATTTATTTATTTATTTATTTATTTATTTATTTGTTTATTTATTTATTTATTATTTATTTATTTATTTATTTATTTATTTATTTATTTATTTATTTATTTATTTTTTATTTTCAAAGGATATCACAACTGGAGAAGACACGAAGCCCACGGGGCCCGCGGGGACGTCCACGACGTTTTCGTGAAAGACGAGGACTTTTCTTCGCAGCCCTCGGTGAGAAAAAGCAAAAAAAAGTGGAAAAGAGTTCAAATGAAACGCAAAAAGATATTTAAATGCGCCGAAAGAGGCCAAAGGAGATTGGAAGGCTCTAAATGGAGTTTAAATTTAGAAAAAGGAGAAAAAAAGACCCAAAAAAGACAAAAAAAGACAAAAATAGACAAAAAAGTGGACAAACTAGACAAACAGAGAGAGCAAAAGGGGAGAAATGAAATCTTAATTTGTTTTAATTTAATTTAATTAATTTAATTTAATTTAATTTGATTAATTCGATTAATTTAGTTTAATTTAATTTAATTTAATTTGTTTAATTTGATTATAGTTTTGTCTCTGTGCTACGCCGCAGGCCCCCACGACGCTCGCGGCGGACTGTAGGCGAAACCCTAAACCCTAAACCCTAAACCCTAAACCCTAAACCCTAAACCCTAAACCCCAAACCCTAAACCCTAAACCCTAAACCCTAAACCCTAGACCATAAGCCGTAGTTCCAGAGCTTTGCGTTGCACAATTAAATTAAAGGAAGAAATAATAATTAATTAAACAAATAAATAAACAAACAAATAAACAAATAAATAAATAACTAAATAAATGAATAAATAAAAATAATCTGTTTTTAGGGTCTGGCCCTTTTGGTGCCCGCGTGGAGAGCGCGGGGATTTTGCTGCTGTCCTCCGGCGCCGCCGCAGCGCAGCAGCAGCAGCAGCTGCAGCAGCAGCAGCAGCAGCAGCAGCAGCAGCAGCAGCAGCAGCAGCAGGAGGCCTGCAGCAGCCAAGAAGACTCCAAGTGGCTTCGCTTTTTCTTCAATCCTCACACCCCTCTTTTATCGGAGGGGCTGTGGCCTCTGCGGCGGGAATTTCTCGAGAAAATTAAAGGCAAAACTATTTCTTTATTATTTTTTTTCGCTTTTTTCGCTTTTTTCTGTTCTGTTCTGCGCAGTTTAATGGGCTCTTCGGCAGCTTTTTTCTCCTTTTTCTTCTCCTCTTTTTTCTCCTTTTTGCTGCGCTTTTTTTCCACATTTTTATCTTTTTTATTTGTTTTGTTTTTCGCTTTTTGGAGTTTCAGGAAGTGGACTTTTGCTTCTTTTTTGGATTTTTTCCCTTTTTTATTTCTTTTTTTGTCTCCTTTTTGTCTCCTTTTGTCTCCTTTTGTCTCTTCTTTAGTTCTCCTTTTGTCTCTTTTTGTCTCCTTTTATTTCTCCTTTATTTTTTTGTTTTGTTTTTGCCTCTTTTTAGTCTCCATTTATTTCTTTTTTTGTCTCCTTTGAAGCTCCATTTATTTCTTTTCTTGTCTCCTTTTTTATCTCTTTATTTATTCTCTTTTTGTCTCTTCTTTTTCTCTTTTGCTATCTTTTTCCGTTTCTTCTTTTGTCTCCTTTTTGTCTCCTTTTATATCTTTATTTATATATTTATTTTCTCTCTATTTATATCTTTATTTATATATCTATTTATATCTTTATTTATATCTTTATTTGTATCTTTATTTAGATTTTTATTTATATCTTTATTTTCTCTTTATTTATAACTTTAATTATATCTTTTATTATATCTTTATTTGTATCTTTACTATATTTTTATTTATATCTTTTTTATATCTTTATTTATATCTTTAATTATATCTTTATTTAGATCTTTACTTATATCTCTATTCATTTATATTCTTCTATTATCTCCCTGTTTATCTCTTTATTTGTCTCTATTTATTTTTGGATTACCTTTTCATTTGTTCATTTATTATCTTTTTATTTATTTATTATCTTTTTATTTTTTTATTATCCTCTTATTTATTTATTTGTTATCTTTATCTATTTATTATCTTTTTATTTATTCATTGGTTATCTTTTT